TTAAAGTAACTATTTTCGTACTTTTTTGTTTTTTCTTTTTTTTTTTTTTTTTTTTCAACATTGAAAGAATATTTGTTCAAGGTGTTAATGCGTTTCTTACTTTTCTTTGATATTTATCAAAGAAGTGATGTTCGAAAGTAGAAAACTTTGAAATTTCTGTAATTCAGTAATAATTTAAAAAACATACGTAATTTATATTTATATTTATTAATTCATTTTAATTGATCATTTTAATTTCACTCGTTACGAGATGATATATACGTGGAGAAATAGTAAAATGTAAAAAACAAAGATATCGTTAATATTGGTTGATTGGTGAATCTGGGTTTGAAAAATTTCAGTTCTTGATAAAATAGTGTTTCAGAATTTTAATTTAATCCAAAAATTTGAAGCCATCTTTATGTATATTTTCAAAGAAAAATGGGTATTAATTTGTTTATTCGCGACAAAAACAGAGAAATTCCTTAAAAACGATTTTTTTTCTCGAAAAAAATAGTAGAAAGTTTCTCTTCCTCTCGTTTAACTTCAGTGAGGATGCGGCTTTAACAATTCTCTCTGTTCGAATGGAGGATGACGCGACGATGACGAAAGTCATTAGCCCTCCGTCGACTTTCAATTAATCGGGCCGACCGATCACGAGTTTCGATTAACCGATTACCATCGAGAAAGTACAAACGAAGAGCTTAATTGGATGTTCAATCGTTTTTCGCCTGCAATCGAAGCCACCAGATCCATGACTGATGTCCATCGTGCCATTTCGTCGAGAAAAAAAATATGCCTCGCCTTGAACTCGTGGAATGAAATAAATTCAGTTTATTGAATTTAGTTATTGAATGACTAGATCATATCATGCAGTTATATATATAAAAAAAAATGAAACTTAATGAGTTTCTTCAAGCCACGAAAAAGTAGGTTTTTTTTTTATATCATCACATAATTAAAAATCATTGACATTTGCGTTAATCGTATGTACAACATTTCCTTGCTCATTATTTCTTTCGAATAGATGGAAACGGGAATATCAAGAAAAATTCACTTTTTTAATGTACAAAATATTCTGATGAATATAACAATAACAAATAATTAATGTGTACATTAATCTCTCATATGATATAAGAAACAAGACATCGTGGGTTTCCAATGTAAAATTAGAAGACGTTGTGTAATTTTAAAAGTTATTTAAATTTTATTATGCTCTCAAATAGCGATAAGTGTGAATATTTCTATCTTTCCGATTCTTATATTCTTATTTAAACGAAATTAAATTTCTTAATCCAGCGTCTCTCCATTGAATTCCAACAGATTAACTAATTTTAATCGCAATCTCTTTCATAAATTGATATATAACATTTGTTTAAAATGAAAATAGAAACATCTTTATATTACAACAGAATAAAATTTTATTATTATTCTTATAAATGTGCATACCCTTCTAAAAGAACGTCAATCATCAAATTGAAAATCAAATGTTGATTTAACAAACACTGCTCTTCTCCATCGATAAGCAGAACAGATTTCCAAAAAGAAAAAAAAAAAGGAAAAAAGAAGAAGACGAAAGGATGGAAGCGGAAGTGAATGGAGGAGTATGACCGGTAAACGAGGTAATCATTTTATCCCGCTTTAAGGGAAGCGCTTGAAAGTGTCGTATAATTTTTCCGGAGCACGCGCCGCGCTATTTATGCGCGTAACTCGCGTTTTTCCGCAAGTGTACTCACCGGGTTTTAGCTTATACCGAGGCTAAGCCGTTTCGCGGATGAATATAAATAGACGTGGCTAGAGCCACGCGGCCCGTTTCCAGTCCGTTTACAGAGAGAATCGCCTCCTAGTTTCCATTCTGGACGCGGCTCGCCGACAGTTTTCGCGTGGACACGCGCGCGTTGAATGGATTGCCGACAAATTATTTAATTATCGACAACCGATTAATTCATCAGGGCGGAATCACGGTGGGCGCAGAGTGTGGATCATGGAGTTGTTTTCGAGTGAAACGTGGAAAGTGGGGGAAAAAGTGGTTGCTTAGAAATTAAATTGGGTAGAAAATGATGGACTTTGTCGAACGAAACACCGATGGAAGAACATTGCTCCACCGAACGAAGGAGAGCCGTGTGGAAACGGGATGTGTAAATGGATTTTTTTGGTTTCTATTTTTATTTAATCGAGGCGATTACTTGAACTGCTGAACTTCTGAATTTTTAATTATCGAGTAAGATGATTATTTTAATTTGGATTGCAGATTTATAATAATGATTAAAGAATGTTTAAGAATAATAATTGGGAGAAATTTTATAAGAATACATTAATTGGTCGTTATTGGTCATTCATTGAATATGAAATTTGGATAATCTATATATATAAATACAAGTCCATAAGAATACAACTTGTTCGCTTCTTTTTAAACCTAACTTTATAAGAAGAAGTTATAAACTTTAAAGAACATACGTTATTCAAGAGCCATAGTTTGAATCATCGTAGAATTCGATGAAGAGTAAAACATTTGAAAAAAAGTGCATAATATAATCGGATTCATAATTAAAATGATACAAAATTTCATGAAAACAAGAGAACAAAGTAGATAGAAATGGCAGAAAATCTTCTATCGTCTCTAAAAATTCAATGAAAGATACGATCTAAGATTCGAAGAAGACTACATGGAAATCATGACCTGGAAGGAAAAAATGAAAAGTCAAGTTTCACCGTTCAAGACCTTAATTAGATGATGCATTATGGAATTCCCGATTTCAAGCGGTACACGATATCACAAGATTATTCGCAACGAAATATGGTGGTCCGTGGAGAACGATACCCGTGGTTGGCCAGCGATAAGTGACGTTACACGAATCATGGGAGGGGCAAAGAGGCTGAAAGTAATAAAAATAAGTAATTACTCGGAGTAATCGGCCACCATTCCGGATTCCCTGGGACCATGGTCGTTCAATTAGCTGAAAGTGTTCTTTCACTTCCACGGTTACCGCGGCAACCATTGTCCGGGATCTTCAGGAATAATACATAGTTGAAACAGGGATACGAATCTCGAACGAAACGGTGCACTTCCGTATGCTCTTCATTGTTCTTTTACGTGACTATGATCAATCGTGCATTATACGTTTTTTCACGATCACTCTTCCTATCCTCCTCATCACAGAGAAATTCATCCACCTGCTCCATACTTCCTTTCAAACTTACTCCTATTATCTTGTCTCGTTTAAGGCACGCGTAAGACATTGACGATTCCATCGGCAGGGTCGAGACGAAACATCCTCCTCCTTTTCCTTATTCTCGCGTTACTACGCCGCACAAGCGTCGTAATCAAGATAGTTATCCGGCAACTAATCACAACTCGCAGCAACGTCCTTCACCCGAGCTAATCCTATCTCAGATTGCAGAGGTAAAAAAAAGTAGGCTCAATAACAGCGAGGAACGGACGTTGAACAGAAAACGTTGAGCCACGTCCTCATCGTCATCGTCCTTCTCCTCCACCTATCCCTCTCGCCGTCGTCATCATCGTCCCTCGTCTCGTCGTCGTGGAACACGGGCACAGATAGAGCGGGAGACCGAAGGTGGGTGGTGGGGGGAAGGCAGAGAGGCGGAGCGTAATAAAAATAAGTAATTACTGCGAGTAATCCTCCCCCTCCGTCGCTGGCCTCCTCATCTTGCCGCCACCCCTCTCGTCCTCTACGAGAGTCGTTCAATTAACGGGAATACTGTTGTCTTCCCTCACTACGTTTCCCTTCCAGTTCCCCCTCCGGCAGCCGGAACCCCATCCCACGCCCAGCGTCCGCGAAACCCGCGAAATGTTTCACTCGCAAAGTCGCGTGGAGTGCGGACTGCGCTCACCGTACGCCGTGGTAGGGCGAAAGAGGGGAGATATCGATGCCCCTCCTTCACTCACGCCCCTGACGTCCATCTATCCTTCCCCCACCGCGCCCGTCCCGCTCCCCCAGCATCGTGCACCATCCCTCCCGCGCTTCTCGCTCCCTTACCCCCACCACCCGCTCCCCAACTCCCTCCACCGCCACGCCGCGGCGCTCTCCTCCATCCCCGCCCCCCCACCCCGCCGCCCGTGGCTCGCAGCCTATCCACTCGCGCGCGAGGCGCGCTCACTCTGGCCCACTGCGCGGCCCGTCGCGGAGTGGGGGAAAGCTCCAAAGCCCCACTCGCTCGTCCGCCGTCGTGCCGTACGGTTCGTGTCGTGGCTTGTACGTGTTCTACGCGTCGCGCGGTGTGCTCTCGCGTCCGAACGATCCTCGCGCACCGGTCCACGGCCTACGTTTGACAGCGGTGTATCTCGACGCGAGCGACGAGTTGCGCGAGATTCGTGACACCGCGAAATCGAGGATCAATCCGTGTTGCATCGTGTTACCTCGCTGTGCTACGATTTATATTATCCCCGGCCGTGGAGGACTAAACGGATTGCAACTGAAGGACTGTGTGTGCGTGAGATCCATGCAACCGTCTCGAATGGTGAGGGAGACATCGTCGTGCGTGCATAGGAGGATCTTTGGTGCCCGTTGGGCGTCTAGTGGGCTGAACTACGACGACCCGGAGGAGAGACGTCAAGGTGCACCCGTGGCTGGTGCGTTACGAGAGTCGTTAGGTGCTGTGTTCGCGATACGAAGCCGAGCTTAAGATCAATAGTCGAGCGTGGAAGACGCGGGCTTTCGAACGAAAGTTTCGCGTTCTCTATATTCGCGGAGGTTTTTCGCGCTGGCACGGATCGTCGTCCTCGTTTGGAGAGGATATCGGGGAGATCGGGATCAGGAGGAGCAGTGCGTTGACACCTGTCCGTTGACTCCACCGGAGTCCACCGCTCATCGCCCACTCAGTTTCTGCATTAGCATTAATCGGCGGTTTCGAACGTTCGTTTTGTGACATCCATCCGCATCTGTGATCTCTCTTCGAGGAAGAATCGTGTCGTTGTAAAAAAACGAAGATTCGAAAAGTGATTCGTTCTTTGATCGGCAACTAGTTGTGTTCGCAGAAAGTGTTTATTGTTTGTTTGTCTGTTTGTATCGAGTATCGTTTGCGGCACGAAGGAATAATTACCGTTGACCAAGAACACAGCCTACGCATGCCGTGGATCGAGGTAAGAGTCTCGTAACGGACGATTCACGTTAAGCCAGGTTACTTCGCGCGCCTTATCTCTCGATATCGTCGATCCGTGGATAACGAGAGCCCTCGTATTCGACAAATAGAGGAGTGGAGCACATCTCCGTGTTTCGTTGAAAGTTATTATTATTATCATCATCATCATCATCATCATCATCATCGCCTATCCACTCATCAGCTGTTTCCTCGACAAGTGTATTCGGATCGAGGCTGATGGTGGTATACGCGTCTCGGCTGTTTTTGGACACGTCTCGTTCCCGGGTTGCAAACTTAATGGAACCCGGGTGTCAAACGTTTCGCCAATGGCCGCGCGAGGGTATCGTGCCAACTGGTGGGCACGGGAAGACTGAGAGAAGAAATTTCCGTGTAAGGTCTCGAGGCTGGGGGCACGCAGGCGCGTCCGTCGCCACGTGGTCGAATGGTGATCCACGCTAGCCGAGGTGTTAACCTTTTTCGAAAATCGAGGGGATCAGCCGCCGGCTGCGGCGATGGCGATGGCCGCGGGTGTGTGGTTGCGGCGGTGGCGGCCCCGGCCTCGCGGGGAGAGGGTTGTGCACACGCTTGGCAAAACAAGTAGTTAGTTACGTGAGCGCTGGCAGGCCGCCAAACGAGCCTGCGAACTTTGAAATTGCGTTCGAGGCTTTCTTTCGCCGCGGCGATTATATGCGCGTCGGAGATAGGACAATGAGCGACAGAGTGGGACGGCCGGGGGAAGAGGGAGGAAAGGGGATGGAAGCTTATATTCCGCCGCCTTCTTCGCCCTCCGCCCGCTCTTGTTGCCCTCCGCAGGGGTGTCCAACCCCCAAACTTCGTTCTTCTGCTGCTTCTCTCTCTCTCTCTCTCTCCTCCCTCCCCCCTCTTCTCTCTTCTTCTTCTTTCT